TGCATGAACGAGAATCTATAGAATCTATGTAAATATACAGTACATGTACGAGCAGCACTCATCTAATTGTGGTTGGTAGCTAACCGAATAGTAAATATTGTTCATGTCCGTCGATATTTGTGCGAGAATTCAACCTTGGACCACATACTTTTTTTTTTGTCTTCTTCGCTCTATTTTGCTCATTTGTTTGTTTGCATCGGTTTTGTTTTTTTGTTTTTTCGTTCGCTGCTGTTAATTTTGTCTCTTCATTCGATTTCAGTCGAGAGCGCGTCGTGAGTTCACGAATGTTCGATGAATGAATTGGGAATTAACACACAATTTAATTGTTTTAGCAAATTCAAATGCATAGGAAATGATGATGCAGTACTGTATGCATTTTTCTAATCATTTCATTCATTTTGTGTCGCTGGGTGTTGGCCGACAAAAATTCGTTACAGTATTTTTGCTCTCTGCACACATCGCATGATGTTGATTGAACACAAGCTCAAGAAAATTTGGAACGTTGTCAACATTTTAGCTGACAATTTGATATGTCCCTTTGACGGTAATTTGAAATAGTGAAGGTTTTTTTTTGCTTTCGAAGCGTTTTTCATTTAAAAAATTATCAATCGCGACACTGTCAACGTCACAGCTCCCCAAACAGCAGCAACAATATCATTCTCGGCCAAAACGACGATTGTATCTATTGTATCCACCCACATGCGGTTAGAGGCTGTAACAAAAAACGGCGACAGAAGCGGCAGTAGTAGCAGCAGCAACAGCAGGGAAAAAAATAAAGCAGTCGTTACACAAACATATTGCTCCGTATGTATAAAAATTGGTTGTTGTTTTTTTTTCGTGTGTTGTGTAGCGCGCTTTTACATTCATTCATTCACATTCAGTATTTTTCATTCATTACTTTTTTTCTCCCGTTCCCATTGACTTTTTTTCGGTGTTGTATGCGTCTATAGCTATGTGTGGTAATATTTTATATATGATTGCAAATAAGTAATTTATGGCTACGGCAATCGTATCGAATTTAGATTGATGAGTTTGGTTTTAAAAATGGAATTCATTGGGTATGAGCGTTTAAAAATTGGCTTAAACATTGGTGCTAAAAGAAATTATTTACTAGTTGCGCATGTGATTCCACACAAAATGTTTGATATTTATCAATGATCATGCAAATGTTGATTTGCGAGCGAATGAAGAGAAAAATAGATTGAATCGGGTCAAAATTGCTTCTTTCTCTCCCTTTTAATTAAATACACTAAAGAAACTAAGGAATTTTCACTTTTAAAAAGAGTCTCATTTTCTGTGTATCTCTCTCTCTCTCTCTTTCTCTCTCTCTGTTTATATTGAATGAAGCGAATTTTTGTTTTACTGTCGTCATCATTTACAATCGATTGCAGATTTTGTGTCAGCGCGTCTTTTAATTGACCGATTTGTCGCAAGCCATGCAATCGTATTGAAAGCAACGAATAATTTGACTTTGTTTAAATTTCGATTATTTGCAATGAAGTAGGTGGACCTCTGGCATAAAAGGAATGCACCACAAAGACACACCGAGTGTAACACAATTTAATCGTTTTGTTGCCATTCTCTCTCTTTCTCTCTCTCTCTCTCTCTCTCTTTCTGTGGTTCACTTATGTTTTACTTTGAAATTTTTGAATGAAAAATTCATTTGATACACTGAAATGAATGAAGGAATAAGCGAAGAAGAAAAAAAAACAAGCCTAGCGAAAAATGGTATGCATTTGAAATCGCATGTCGCCTCGGGCGAATGTTGTTTTAAACCCACGCAAAAATTCGAAAATGGAAAATATTTTAAGATATTCAGCTGCAAATATTTACATACTTTGGAATTGTTTGTCTAATGAAATCAGAAATCTCTGGGCCGACTGTCATATCTCGGCTACACCGAACGAGTTGTGTAAAAATGAATTGAATTGTCTTGAAATGTCGTGTACAATATACGTGTTGTTGTTATTGTATTCGGGTGTTAAGACTTTTTTAGCTGTTCGAATTCGGTGCGCGTCTCACATCGGATGCTATTCACGTGCTACGTATATTCTCTCAAAAATAAACACACAACGGAAGAAAGAGTGTGCTATTTTTTCGTAAGCATCTAAATATGTAATACAAATATGGAGATACTTTCGGCGGGAATCTGTTCCGAATTCCACGAATTTTTAGCGCGATCCAAGCTTAATGAAATTGTTGTTTGCTAATTTGTTTGCAAACGTATTTTATTAACTGACACATGTGTGTGTGTTTTTTTTTTCGTTTGCTATTCTTCGCGTTTAGTAATTCTATACAAACGCGAAAAATTTTATCATTCCAGTGAAATTGGTGTGCGTATTTTCACATTATTGCCTTCCTTTTCATTCGCTCTTCGTCTCTCCTTTCAGCTTTTGATAGTCTATCATCCCGTGAGCGCTCTATTAGTCCATTTGATCGGATCTACTTTGTCGTCATCACATTACACAGTAAAAGCAAGAAATAAAAAAAATGAAACGCTCGCTCATTGAATTATGTTAATGAAATAAATATATTTTGTTAATACGATCGCAAACACACTTGCGGTTCACAACTATACAAAAATATACATGCCTATTCCTACAATGGATTTTCAATTTATATGGCAAATTAATACATTAAGCGCAACACGCTTACGTGTGTATAGATATATACCAAAGGAGCGGCATACAGTTTCATTTTACTGAATAACAATATTATTCCATTCATAATGGCTGCTTCATTCATAAAAACCTTCGAATTATAGTTTTACACTTGCCCACTAGGAGCGTGATTAATGTTGTTACTCTCTATGTGTCTCTCTTTGTGTGTGTTTGCTGCACAAATACATCGACAGTTTTTAGTTCGACCGATCGGTGTTTAGAACGAGCATGAGCAACGAATATCAGAACGGATACGTATATTGCTTAAATATTTGTATGAACTATAATACATATGTGCGGAAGCGAGACAGACAGAGACAGAGAGGGAGCGAGTGAAAGAGATTCACATACACTCACAATGTGTGAGAGAGAGAGAGAGTGCGGGACAGCCGCAACCAAGTAGAAATCTTATGAATGTTGAAGCAAAAGCCGCTTAGGCTATTCTTTCAAAACATTAACGTGCAAACTCGGTGCTTGTCATCTTACTCTATCATTCAATCGTTTACGTCTCTCAAATTTTCCATTTCATTCCATTCCATTTGATTTTTAATGTGTATATTTTTTCTTCTTCTCGTCGCTTTTATTTCAATCGCATTTGCCAGAGAATATTCAACTCATATATACATATACATCTGCTTTATTTTTCATTCTTCAGTCACATTCTCCTTTGAACGTGTGTCTTTCGGAGTGTATAAACAACAACATATAACTGATATTTACGGATGAGCCGTAAACGAACCTATGTTAAGATTTCCGGTAGAAAATGTCTATAAAATTTGCGTGCAACATTTAATCGATAAAGAAAGAAAGAAATAAAAACAACTCGATTTATTTTCTGTCGATGCCAAGGATCACTCAAGCATTTATCATGCATTGAATCGAAAAGATCTTGTGAGAATAAAAAAATGTTTGATTGGATTCATCTTTTTGGATGAAAATGTTGTTTTTGTTGTACATTCAAAAACATAAGCTACTCGATTGCTCATCATTCAGATATATGGTGTTGTGGCTTTCGACACGTACGTAAATCGTGTTCGAAAAGCTCACGAAAGATCACTGCTCACAGCACAATACCTACATAAATTCAACGCTTAGCATTGCGGAGTGTGTATCGTGGTCGACCGTCCGCTCTCTGCATATATCCTATATGGGCTAAATACACAAGCGTGCATTCGAATAATGTTATTACTATTATTATTATTATTCGGTCCGGTTCGTATCGAACTGTCTATATGACCGTACAGTTTTGTCGGTTGTATTAATGAAATGGTCTTCTCTCCATCTTTATTTTATGTGGAAGAAATGTAAAGTCAGTAGTAATACAGTACAACGTATGGTTAGTTTTTTTTCACTCTACATCGATTCGTTCATATGTGGCACCAAGTATATATTATGTTCTCTCGTTCGCGTGTTGTCTATATATATGTATATATATCCGGCATGAATATGTGCGTGCGCACGGCTATGCGTATATTGTGCAGCACTTTTGTATTGGTATGTATACGACAACATTCATATATCAACATTAACACATACAAAACATAGCAATGATGGGTTTCTCTTCTCATCGTTCGTCATTCATATCATGCACATACAAATCGTGCAGCCGCTTGAATAAGCCGCATTATACGCAAGCAACATCCAAACATTGTCACATACCACCGCCGCCGCCGCCGCCGTCATCGTCGTCATCATAGTCGTCTCTCATACACAATACACTCATATGGAAAGTCGAACACTAACAAAGTATTGCATCTCTGTCATGTCACGGTCGTTTATATGCTGCGTAGAAAGAAACGAATGGTTTTCATTAAAATAAAGTTTCTGCCGAGTGAAAACGAATTCAATATATTTATCAGTCGCTTGAGATATTTCGTTTGTGGAGGATTGATTGTACGCGGGTTCCGTAAAAATTTCTTCTTTTTGAAATATACATGCATATAAATACATACAGTTATACATACAGTGAAAAGTGTACGGACCTACTGAACGAAGCACGAAAAAAAGAGTATATATATATTTTTTTTTTGGTTGAAGAAATGAAAAAATAGTTCACAATCATTTAGAAAAGAATGATCGTAATTTCAGTGGAAACAAGAGAGTAAAGAGAAATATTTAAAAAAAAAAGCAAATCCGGCAAATCAAAGTCATATTGTTAATGTAACCATATTTCGCTTTAGAAATGCAATGATCAGTGATTTCACTATGCTTCAACTGCAATAAGCAAAACAGTCACACAACGATCGGGAAATGAAGAAAAATTGAGCACAATTTTTAATGAACAATTTTTATTTTTATTTTTATTTTATTTAAATAGAAATCTGTGTTGCTTGGTACTTCTTAATTTAATTTTGAAAAATTTCAAAGAAAAGAAAATTATTATTTTGTTTCTAAGTGTATGGTGTGTTGATTTCTTTTTCATATAGAAAAAAACGGAAAGAAACAAATATAAATAAATAAACGAGAACAACAACGATATTCAGAGATTTAACAAATGTGTGCGTTTGAACATTCGAATATATAGTGTACCATGTAAAATACAAAGATAGATACCACATGAAGTTTTTTTTGTTTAGTCGTTCATTTATTCAATTCAAATATATGCTCTTTACATAAGCCAGTGGAATAAGAAGTGATTACAACGGCTGTTGCAGCGATCATTACCGCTTTTTTCTGTGTATTACTTGTGGGTTAAATGGTGTTGTTGTTGTTGCTATTATTGGTAATAACCATCAATACAGTCGAGACGATCGATTGCATTGCAAACACACACATTTTTTTTTCGTTCGCCAAGTTATAGATGATCCAAATGCATATGTTGATGATACATATGAAATGCGAATCGAATGAGATACAAGAACGGAAACAAGCAGCAACATCCTAGGCAACATCAAGCCGAAAAAATTGACCCAACAAAAAATACCGAAACGAAGAAAGAGATAGAGAAAAAAGGGGAAAAAGAGACTGTCTGTGGTGATCATGCAAAAATCGAATAACATAAACAGCAAGCAGAAAATCAAGCATATTTAAAAAATAAATAAATAGACCAAACGTCAAACAATTGATTTGCAAAACAACAAAGAAACAAACTTCCCATTTGATGGACATAAACCGACACAACCGATGATGACAGTGACATGTGCTAACGAAAGATTCATTATCGATCGCTCAGCGTATTCAAAATATTTTTCAACTGAACGAAACATTTAAAACGCAACGATATCAGTGCGCTCTCAATGAAAATTGCAAGCATTTCAAAAGTGCCAGAGTAAAACAAAAGCAACAAATTCAATCGAAAAAGAGAAAGAAAAAAAAAAAACGAATCGGAATTAGTGGTAGTGCTGAATTTTTGTGTTCAAGTGCTCGACATAGAAAATAGTGCAATTCGTTGCATCGCGCATTGAATTTTAGAGTGAGAAAAAAGTAAAAAAAGAAAGTCATACGACTACGACGACAACGACGACAAAATAAATAAAAAAGAATGAAAGAATCGAAGAAATAAAGAATATACATACACACACATATGAATACATATATATGAAGAGTTCGTAATAGTTTCTGTTCAAATCAAATGAAGACCGGAAATTAACGAGAGTAGAAAGAACGATTACTACGACGACACATGCAAAATAGCAAACTGTGCCGCATACAATAGAGAAGAAAAGAAAGAAAAAAATAATAATAATAATATTATTCGTGTTAAACAGAATATGAAGTGTTTTCTTGCACGTGGAATAAATGGTTACATATTATTTGGATTACACGTAGTTTGGATTACGACAAAGAAAACGACTGAACATTTTGTGAACTATCAGCCGCTGTTTCAATTAAAAATGTAAGTCTCTATATGCCGTACAGAAATAATAGATTAAATCCTTCGCTTTCTTTTTTTATTTCATTTGATGTGTGTTTCAAATGTGAATCCATTAGAACCACCTCCACCTCTTCCTTCCCAACCACAAATTCAACTGTCGACTGAAAATAACTGTTTCAAAAAAAAAAAAAAAAAATATGTCATTATATCTAGACGTTAGGAAATGGAATTGTTTTATGGAAGAATTGAAAGCGACTAATTTAATAGTGTGTGTTCAAGTGATGGAATTACATTTTGTCGGATGTAACAATATTGTATGAACACGCACAAACTAAACAATGTAACAATATTGTATGAATGCATTAAAAGAAACGTTCGATTCGATACTAATCGTATTTACATGGTATTGGTTTTAATTGTACTCGAAACATTTACGAAATTGAATAATAGTCAAGACAAGACATCTATCCTATTAATTGTGAATTTTCATGAATTAAAGTGATTTTTGAACGATGATCATAAGCATAGTTTGCACGTTATTTCATGAATGAAACTGACCGATGTAATCAATTCAACAACGATTGTTTTTATTTTCACGCAAACAGCAAAAGTTTAGCGATGAAACGATAAATAACATTTGCCGAATCTAAAAAATTATCCACGAAAAAACACATATGCATTTAAGTGAGAAATATTTTTTGCGTGCCGTTGCAAAACGTGTTTCTGGTTTTGCCAAAAAAAAGTGCAATAAATTAGTTGGCAAAATATCGTTGAACTGCAATGTCTCTTTGTACATTCGATCAAAGATCGATTCATAATGTTGGCATTATTCAATTCTGCAAAGACTTGATATGCTAAATGCATAATTCTAATCGCATACGTTTCACGATCAATTTATGTAAATCCAGTTTTGATGATTGTATTTCCGGCAAATCAATCAATTACATTTACTCTCTTGAGACTATAACCTTCGAACGCCACGCAATCGATTTTTAGCGTCACCTCTCAATGCTCAGTATTCTACAAACTTTTTTGTAGTCGTTCTTTCATTCTTTTTTTTTTAAAGTTGTTGTTTTTTTTGTCTTGAATCGTGAGCATATACACGCGCTCCCGACCAGCTGCGAATAATCTGTTGTTTGGTATTTTTAGAAAATGTTGCCGTTTTGATGCTAAATTTTCTTCGATTTTAATTGCGCAGAAGAATCCAATAAAATACTTAAACTGTAGAATAGACATTACATAGACATAGAAGTCAAGCCCACACTATTGCTAAAGGTGAAATGGAATAAGTCAGTAGCAGTATCGTTGGTTGTATTTATATGAATGTCGCTCACACCGTTCATTTATTTAATTGTTGCGAATCTTATAATTCACTAAACATTGAATTTCCAATTTTATGCTTAAAAAGTGACTCAAAATGTATTCTGTCGGCCCTCTTGCAACGCGTCGAGGAGTCCATAGCACGCTACTGACCGAAAGAGAAGCAACACGACGGTGGGCGTCCCTTCGCGGAATAATTTTTTCGGCTGAAAAACAGTACATACATACTGAGAGGTGCGGTACCATCATCCTTATTCGATATGATGCATTCTTAAAATTGAACGCATTTGGTACACCAACGCATCTCTGTCAACTCTTATCGTCTCTATCTATCTTTAAAATGTTCGAAAATAATTTTAATATGTTGTTGTTTTCGTCATTTTTTTATGAATATTTCTGTGGGCAAAACGAATCATGGTGGAAATTTGGAAAGAACTTAATCTTGGTACTTGGTTGTGTATGATTCAACAACTTGGAGATTGGCATCGATTTCTGTTGATTTCTTTTCCCTTGACAAACATTCAATCAGCACCCATAATAAACTAATTAAATTTGTTCCATTCCAAATCGTGTTTGTTGCATGGAATGTGAATATACTGATCTCAATTGATTCAAATTTTAATTTAAAGTTTAATTTTAACAGAATTTTCATTCAGTTGAAAGAAGACATGCAGAAAAAACGTCGCAAACACACACACACATACACACTCGTTCGCTTGCAAAGTAATTGCGGTTTATGATGCTGTTGTTGTTGTTGTCGCATCGTCGTGTGTATGCGCGGTGCAATTGCCGAGAAAGAGGCAACATTTTTAATTGCTTTAGGAAATAGATTGCCACTATTTTCAAAATGCGCCGATCTCGCGATGCTCAACGATTACACCGAGTTAAATAACAACAACAACAACAACAACAACTAAAAAAAACACACAGAAGTGTGTAGTACGATACGAATGCGAATTCTGTTGAACATTTCATGTTGTCGCCGTGGCATCGAAGAATTGCGATGCTTACTCTCTTTCACTCAAATATATGAGGAACATGTGGCTATAAGCCACATAACATTTATGTTGAAATATTACAAAAGTGCAAAGCGAAATAATTCTGTTGTGACATCGTCTTAAAATAAACATATGCGTATGCGTGGTCGATGCTTCTGTTGCCACATTACTTTGTGTGCGCTTTTTTTTCACTTTTTGTTGTTGTTCTTACTAAAAAAAATTGTTCAGTTGTTTTGTTTCGACTTTTATTCATCGACCGAACTGATGAAAAGGAGTCGTTGGCATCTTTTAATTTAACTGTTTGCATTTCTTCTTTTTTTCATCATTTCATTTCGTTTAGAAAAACAGGATGTATCTTCCTCATATCAGTTCATTCATAATAAATATTATGATTCGTATTTAAGTGTGCGCACACGCACTCAAAACGATTTGACGAGGTATGTTGTAAGACGTTGCATTTAATGTGTTTCGCATATTCAAATGGGAGCAGTTTTGCAGTTGAAAAGCCAAAAATAAACACACATTTATCTTGTAAATTGAATTCATTTTCGTATGTGAACTGGACATGTTAAGCGGATATTAAACTGTCCCAGCTTTAAAATTATTCAAACAAACAAAACAAATCAAACAACCATAAGACCGAAGCGAAATAAGATTATTTAATATTGCATTCACTAAATAATTACACCCCAAAATATTTCATGTCCATATGCCAGAGTTCATTCAGACAGAAATGTGTGTCGGCGACACGAAACGAACATTCAAATAAACAAACCGAACAAATGAAAAACAAAAAAAAAATTAAAACAATATCACTTCATTAAATTCACTAAAAACAAATCGATGAATTCTCGTGAGTTCATCGTTTCATCGCCAATCGAATGCACAAACGAATCACATTTATACCGGAAACAATTTGTTTTTTTTTTTTTGTTCTACATTTTCGTTTATTATTGTACAAAATTTCAGCGCAAATATTTTGCGAAAACACTGTCGACTAATTTGCGAATCTGATCACCCTTCGATGCATGATCTCATTGAGTCGGCGTCCAAATTGAGAAAGCTTGAGAAACCAACCAAAAATAGACTGCAACCCATGAAATCCGAAAAAATGTGTGAATATTGATCACACACTTGAAGTGGTTGTTTCTAATCTCCTTAAAAGCTTGACAGAACGTGATTTTGCGTTTTGTTTGCTAGACGTACGTACAAAACACGTTCTACGTTGTTTTTATTGTTGTTGCTCCATAACTAACACCTCGCCTATCGTTTCGAATGATTATAAGCTCTGTCTGTACTATTAATACAATGTTGCTAGCTCCATGGTCAAATACTGAATGCTCAAAATAAAAACACGTTAGACTTCCTTTTTCATCGCAAAGTTGAAATTTCAATGGAATAATGTAATTTTATTCGATGGTCACCTTTGAACTTCAATGTGATAATTCTTAACATTTGTATGCGATCAACGATCGGCCTACACTGGTATTAACACATCATGTGAGCCATGCATTTCAATACAATACAGTTGGTACACAATACAAGGGTGTAGTATGCGCCGCCGTTGCCGCCGTAAATCGGTTGAATTGTAGCGCAAGAGAGCGAAACTGAGATTGAGCAAAGAACTGAACGAAAAAAAAAATAATCGAATATTAGACAGAATGAGAGCAAACGGAAAAAGGGATGTATGGTCTGTGTCAAAGACATTCAAACAATTTTTAACCGAAAAATAACACGAAATCTAATTCTCGCTTACAATGGGAATTGTTTTGCTTCACATGTGTTTGAATGCACAATGTGAGAATGAGAAAGAGCAATGGAGACTTTTTTTGTTGTTGTTTTTGGAAGTCGTTTTTTTTTTTTTGCTTTTAGACAGTGCTGCCGGTTCAATAAATATTGATATAGATATAGACAGACGTGTCGGGATCGCAACATGCGTACACAAAAATGTGGTGCGTGTTGTTTGTTAACAGGAAATGTGAGACTGTGTATGTACGATATGCATGTATATGTATGTATGTACTCGCATTCCGCATTTGCGAATGTTAGCCCAAGCGGCACAGCGGCAATTTCAATCTTACACTCTCTCTGCGTTTATTAAGCGTGGTGTATTTATAAAGTTTGGCAAGAATTAAATCGGTCTGCCGTTCAAAACATTCTCAAATAATTTCTCTCGCCTTAAATCACATGCGGCTATTGAATATAACATTGTAAGTACTTAAAATTAAAAGAGCTCAAAGAAAGTAGTGTATGTCGTTCACAACAAACGTACTGACTCTTTTCGAATACCACAAAAACGGACCATATTCATAATCCAATCTCTGGTATGCAGGTCTTTTCATTCCGTTTCTGCCTTTGTCTCCATTCCGATCCAAGATATTGTTTCAATTTTGTCAAACGCCATTTTTGATCATTAACATTATTGGTTAAATGATTAAATTTTGCGAATTACATTTGGGATGAAAACAAAAATATCAATCGAAAATTGATCGTTTGGATTTCACAGTGTACGGCTCTGTCTGTGCATATTTTACATGGTGTCTTTATTTTTTCTTTCTGCGGAAAAAACTGCATAAATCTAAGTAAATTCGAAAACACTCGATAAAAGTGAAGATAAAGCGGTGCGTTATTTTTCTTTTCTTTCCCCCCTTGGTTTTCTATCTTTTACACATACTACTTACAATTAGTAAGTGGTACATTTGA